TTAGTAGTTATAAAAGGTAGCTAAAGATAGTCAAAGCTATACATTCAATATAATATGTACACTATGTATATACCATAAACTATATACTATATATGTACACCCCACTGTTCCGAACGTCTCACTATTCCAAAACGAAAACTGGTCCCAATCAGAAACCAACCTCTATTATCGCCCACTGCATCAATAATAATACTCCAAAACACAAAAAATTAACCAATGCAATTAGTTAGTTTCCACATCCGACCTTATTTCCTTTTTCGCTATATACGCTTTTTGTACCATTTGAGCTTCTTCTTACTGTCACTTTTTTGACCTATTTCTCGGAATGATATTTTTTGCTCGAGAACCTTTTTGAACAGTTCGATAATTTAAATAAATGGAAAAAAAAACAAAAACAGTAAAATTAAAATAAAAAAAAATATCATTTCGCATAAAAAAGGAATTGCATTGAGAGCTTAGTCTAGCTTGTGCAAATGGGTCAAAAATTTGTACCTTGCATTCGCTTGCTGTTCCTTTTTCATTCATTTAATTGCACTGTCATAAAAACGTATTACTAAAAAAAAACTAGAAACAAAAGAGAAAATTAAATAAAAATTCCTAACCTAAAAACTTCATTTTTATAGATATATACTACTAGATATATCAAGCCTAGCAAATGCACTCACAGACTTAAAATTTATTTCTTGTGACAAACGAAAAAAGGTTCAGCCAAAAAATATCATTTAACAATTCTCCTATTGTATATAGAATCTTGCTTTATTTCTAGGAGCTATAAATAGATCGAAAAATAATAATAAAACTCTTAAAGCAATATTAAATCGAATATAATAGTATTTGTAAAGTATTTTATTTATTTAATAATAATAAAAATTTATTTTCAGAATTAAGCAAAGGTCCTGTAGATTTTTGCCATTTTTAGAAAAGATAAATGCAAAAAAAAAAAAATAAATAACTAAAACATATACTTTATTTAATCAATTTAATTGCATCTTGGAAAAAACATAATCAATATTTCCAGTCTTTTTCGGCAATTTAATGTTAGTTTTCATTAAAGAAATTCGAACCAAAACTTGTTTTAGGTTTTTTTTTCAATCTATTTTAAAGAGCTAATTAAATATGTTAGCTGATCTATTTATAGACTCCATGACTTTACATATCCTCTCAACTCTCTATATCTTATCGAAAAATCAGTTGCTCCTTTTTGACACTACATTGCTTTTTGGCTGGTAGCCTTTGACTACCATATAAACCAACAAATCTTTAGACTAAAATTCAATCTCTAAATCTGTAGCTATAATTTTGAAAAACTTTAAGAACTAGCTATCGGTAGCAACCGACTGCATAATACTCGTTCACGGCGCAAACAGTAGAACAGCAAAATATATATTTGGAGTCTTTCCTTCGGCAAACGTTGAAATACTAGCGTATTTTCTCTCAGTAAGCTACTTGAACGGCATATGGTGATATCTGTTGTACACAATAAATATCATGAACGATGAACTCTCCTCTAGGAAAAATCGGAGGACTTGGCGCGAAAAAAAATTCACTTAGTGAACGAGTATAAAAACAAAACCAAAACTATTTGCAGGTGTTACCATTCTGCTGTCGCAAACAGTTTTCTCTTTATTGGTTGGCAATGTCATAACAAAGACGAGCGAGGCGGTACCACTGCTTGGTACGGGTACAAATCCATTCTTAATTAATTTTGATTGTTATACTTTATTTAAAAACAGAAAAAAAAAAACATCAAATTAAAAATAAAATCAAAACTCTATTTTCTCTTAGCTTAAAACTAATGTAGCAAACGAAAAAAAGTTTCCAAGTCTAAAAAACCAGATGATTAATGCGTTCGGGGCATTTTGCCAAAAATATATAAATAAATTAACGCCGAATTCAAACAAAAATCAATAAAAAAAAAAAAAAAAAAAAAAACAAATTTAAAAGTTTGTATATATTTTGTACAAAAAATAATAATTAGTGCTTCAGCACATTTAAAGTAGGTTTACAAGAACCAATTCAGATGTTAAAGAGAGCATGAAGTACAACTCGAGAGGATCAGCAATATACTCTCTAACGCTGTCGTAGCTGAACCCAACTAAATTTACCCTCCCCTAGAAAAAAAGAGAAAAAAAATAAACTCAAGTGCTTCTTTAGAATTTGGCTGAATCTTTTTTTTTTATTATAATCGATAATAACGCGTGAAAACACAAATAATAAATTTGAAATTCGGCTTACCGAATTTATAATACCCTTGTTAATAGTAACTGACTTAAATTCAAGTGAAGTTGCATTTCTCATTGACAAAACATGAATGAAATAAATATCTACTGATTTTAGAAATATCCAGCAGAAACAATAATCATATTTATACCATTCAAATTCCGCTGTACAATATCCTCTAAAAATCATGTATAATATGTATACAAAACTAATTCTTTTCTAATACCAAATGTTAGATATAACATGAAAGATAGATGGATCTACCTATTAACATTGATTCAATTCCAACTTAACAAACGTACCTATAATTCATAAAATAGGATATTAACAAGATATACACATAGGGGTAATGAAATGTATCTTTCGGTATAAAGATTTGCAATCTTAATAAATTAATTTTAATTATCAATAAGATATGTCATCATTTTATAGACACTTCGACTTTAGAATCTCTTCTGCGAGATCTGATCAGCATATACAATGGGTGCACAGCAAGGGTATTCAAAACTGACATCGAAAAATATATAAAATCAATCAGAAAAGTCGCTACTGTGGGTGCTTTGCTTTAGTTGCTTGTCAAAAAACATCAATCTAATATCATAAAAACACGTATGCAAGCTATGCTTTAAGTAATACTTTATTTACATAAACGATGTACTATATATACAAAGAACCAACATATTTATATCGAAACATATTTTTAAAATTCCTCACATCCAAGTATCAAAAGCTGACTAAATAGACTGAGAAATTGTTGTTAACCGTAAGAGAAAGTAATTATTGCAATTCTAAACCATATATTAAATATATCAAACAGAAAGCATACTATAAACAAGACCAATGATAAACTAATGAAAACAGTTAACCAAAAGATAACAGATTTTGTTTGCCAGAGCAATTGAACCCTCACAAAACTCACATTTTATATATTTGGCTCCTCTTTTCTTAAAGCATGACTTTTCTTATTAGACTGTTAATTTGGAAAATTCATAAAATATAAAAAATTCAGTCAAGTAGTCAAAAACAAAGCAAATATTTTCAATACTACAAATTTATTATTATATTTTTATTGCAGAAAACCAATTCTTCATTTATTTGCACTCAAATAAAAGAATTTCATATCAAATACCAAGTATATAAATTAATTCACTTTTATTAATCACGCGCAATATATCGTTACACTGGCGATTACGACGCTTTCCAACTCCAACTATGTATATATTTATAGTTTATATACTATATATTA